TTTGTGTAAAGGCTACAAAAAACCATAGAAAACGGAGAAATAATCTTAAAGACTACCTGTTTCACCATCTCTTCAAACTTCTCCTTTTCATATTTCTGCAGTGCCTTGTAATCTTCCACAGATGTAACATCAAGCTTATGCTTGGTTTTAGGCTTAGGTGGTTCGAACGGACAAGTAAGGATTGCAATTTTAACATCTTTAAGCTCCTGTACAATTTAGAAAAAACAAACAACCAAAACAAAACAACAAAAACAATTGAGTTTTTGCTTCAGTAACACCTCTTTCTTACATTTGCAAAACATACAGACATATCTTCAAAACACAGGGACAGGAGGAAACTTGAAGATCATTTGACTTATTCTAAAGTGAAACTAACTATACCCAAGTAATTCCATCAGAAGTCTCTATAACCCACTTAGAACAAATTCCACAGCTTCAAGACACTGTTTAAGCCCTTAACAGTCTTGCCTTTTTATAGTTTAATGTTTAAAAAAACAGAAAAAAAAAACCTTTAATGAAACCATTACTTGCCCTATCCACTGTGACCATGGAGACTACATACTCATCTTTATAGCCACCTTTTATGCACTACACGACTAGTATTTTCCAGCAGTCATCCTTTTTATAGGATAAACAGTGTCACCTACTAGAAAAAGATTTCAGAACAGTAGAAATTTTAAATTGCCTCCATCTTTCTTGAAGTACGCTGCACAAAGACTTGGAGACCTCACCAAACATAATAAGAGAACAGCTTCTGGGGTGTTCCAAACAGGACAACATGGCAACCCATAAAGCTTAAGAAGCATTTCTTGATACTGAGATGCATTAAGTATCTTAAGCATATTACACACTATGGATGATTATTTCTGCTTCAACATAGAACTCTGCACCTGCCCTCACTCAGTTGTACAGTAATGCCCGCCGCCCCATTTCTCAAGACTGTTGTAAATTCTAACTTGATCTCTTCCAACATGAAGAATTTAATGCTCTCCTCCCCTTTCTCTGTTGATATATGGGTGAAAAACCAAGACAAACCACAACACTGTTTAGACAGTTAAAAAATGCTAGGACAGCATTTGAAGTGGGCTAGACCATCTTATTTAAGCCTTTACAGATGAGACACACACACAGGGACATGACTTACTTTAGGCATCTGTGGATGACTGAAATCTTTATCCACAATCACTCCTTTAACCAACTGTGTATCTTCCAGTCTACCTCCCACTTTACCTTGTACTTTGATCAGCTCAAAATCAACATCTTTACGTTCCATATCTGCTACTGTCAGTATAGCATTGACAGCAATTTCTGCCATTTGTCTGTGACAACGGTTAACTCTAGGTTTAAAAAAACACAACAAAGTTGCATTACATTTCCACAATTTGGAAGAAAAAAGTGATTCTATCAATCTTGAACAGAAAAAAGGTATCGCTATAGCTAACAACTTTTGTACGCTCCACTAAAAGAGGGGGTCCTGCTTGTTTGTTCACAGAAATGAAAGTTGTTAAATATGGCAAAAGATAGAACACACAATATGATTTGCCTAAGTAGTCTCTGTGGACATAGTCTCAAGATACATATTTGAAACAAGTGAGGAGAATTAACTACTAAGAAACATTCAAGTCACAGAAATGACTGTTAAGACAGGTCTGCAAAGGAAGCCCTTACAATGTCTGAATTTATAAACTACACATAGAACCTATAATGAAAAATGCACTTATGGAACTATCCTACAAAATTTGGTTTTAGGAAAAAAAAAACCAAACCCAAAACCAAGACAAAGCTTTGAAATGTAACACATAATTATTTTTAAAAGGTTTACATTACTCTGGGAATTTGCTATGATACAGAAATCTAGAGCTAACAGATTAGAATGAAATTGATTTTGCAGCTGTTTAACCTCATAGAATTGACTCTTTAGAGAAAAAATACTGACAATTTCTTATCCTGAGACACGAGTCCATTGAGAAATTAGCCAAAATCAAACATAAAAGAGCCTTCAGCAGCCACTCCAATAACACAAACAATTTAATAATCCATCAAAGCACCAGGATTTCTCCTTTCAACTCAAAGTGTTTTTAAGGGAAACGTAAATATTCTTCTGAAGTTTTTGTGACTTACACTTTAGAGCCTAGCGTTGTCTTTGCTGTCTGGATCAGAGGTTCAGTGTTCTGTGGATCAACTGGAAAGCTGTCACTGATTTTGTCTAGATGCTCAATAGCAATGCGGGCTGCCTGCTCATAACCGTCTGCTATTCTGATAGGGTGAATACCACGATCTAGTAATTGCTCAGCCTGTTCCAATAATGCTCCAGCCAGAACTATAAAACAAAATTTTAAAATGTTGTTTACTCTTCCACAGATTGACGCACCATTTTTAATACATTATCAAAAGATTAAAACGTACGCCTTCTGATTTTTTTCTGTAATATTTTAACAGTTCGAGGTTTCTTAAATGACGAAATAACCCTAAACAATCCCCTACTTGCTACGCTTAGGAAGAAAAGTGCATTATGTTAGACCAAAAAGAAGCATGGGCACCAAGGCAGGACAGGTAGAAGATTATGGAAGAAAATTATGCAGAAAAATTTTAAAAGTACAAAGACAACTCTCATCACTAACTTAAAATGTAACCACACGTAGAAAAGACACAGAAGCGTCTTCCTGATTAAAAAGACAAGAATACCGAAGCAGTAAATACTCTAAAAACATGTTACAGAAAAGCTACTGTTACTTCACACAAAATTTCTTAAAATAGCTGAAGAAGCTTGATTTTAAAGGTGGAAAACATAAGTTAAACTTAAAATCTTTTCTTACCAACGACTCCAGTCGTTCCATCCCCAATCTCATCATCTTGAGATTTAGACAGCTCCACCATAAGTTTGGCTATCTGGTGATCAACATCCATCATATTCAGGATGGTAGCACCATCATTTGTCACAGTCACCTCACCATCTTTGTCCACCATCATTTTATCCAAGCCTAAAAAAAATACGTTCACAGCATGAAGGAAAATCTAGAAAATCCCAAAAAACAATTACTGAGAAAGAACCATTAAAATTATTTCATTATTACCATTGGGCCCAAGGGATGTTCTCAGAGTACTTGCTACAGCCTTTGCTGCCATTATGTGAGACTATAAAACAAAGAAGAAATAAGTTAAATCATTATCATGCATCCCAGAATCATAACAGTAAGCTAAGAAAAACAAATGAAAAAAAGCTAACGCGAATACTGTAATTTAACTGACAACAGCCAATTACGACTGAAGAAAAAAATCAATATATGCGTACTGCTTTTATGCCAGAAACATTACCGTGCCATTTCTTGCACAGCTTGCTTGTACTTGCACTGCTAAAGCATGTAAAAGCAGAGCAGCTAAAATGACAGCCCCGAGGTTTAAAGCAGGAAAGCAACAGAAGCAAGCAACGCTAAAAGAAGCAGCCCGTGTAATTTTGCTCCACTCTTCCATCAGTGTTTAAATCACACGCATTCACACAAGGCCGCCTGCCCGCTCGGCCTCGGCCTGTCTCGGGAACAACGACCGAGCTTCAGCCGGGGGAGGGGGAGCGGGGGCCCAAGGGAGGGGGCTACAGGGCACCTCCCTGCCCGCGGCGACCAGCAGCCACCGGGAGCGGCGCGCCGCCCCTACGGGAGAGACGACTCCGAAGCCACACGCACTCACCCCAGGGAGACCCCACAGACCCATGCCGCGGGTGGCGGACTGCCAGCCCCGGGGGCGATGGCTTCTCTCTCCCTCCACACCTCCCACAGCCGCGGGCCCAGACCAGGCTTCAGGCGCCCTGCACCTGACACGGGGCAGGAGACAGCGCAGGGCCGCTACCTCCTCCCAACGGGCTCCATCCTCCCGCCGAGGCCTAACGGCGCCCGCCCCTAACGGCAGCATGGCGCGGCGCGGCCCCCCCCGCG